CAAATAATGAGAAGCCTGGTTATATTTGCATTCATTATTGCAACTGCATGATCGTAAAACCCTGGAGGGACTGATTTAAGTGTATCAAATAATAATAACCAAATAAACATGCAATGTGGATGCAGGAAAATGTCTGAATACTCTGCTGCAATTGTTACAAAAAATACTCTGATTCTCAAATGACTAATGAAATGTTAATGATGCTGAAAATCAGCTGGTTGTATGCTGGCCTCAGGCTGTCATTCTGTGCATTACACCACAGAGACAAAAGGCGAAAAACGAAAAATAAAAATAGCGTTGGGGTTTGGACAAAGCACTTGAGCCAAGTGTAAGCTGCTCTTATAATCAAGTGTTTGGCTCCACAGGAGAAGTGTCATCAGTACTGGCCTGCAGAGAGATCCGCACGCTACCAGTACTTCGTCGTGGACCCCATGGCTGAATACAACATGCCGCAGTACATCCTACGGGAGTTTAAAGTCACAGACGCCAGAGTGAGTCGATCAGACGTGACCGCATGACTTCAGCTGTGCTGTGTCTTTAAATCACACTCTCATTCTCTCTCAGGATGGCCAGTCTAGGACGATCCGCCAGTTTCAGTTCACCGATTGGCCAGAACAAGGCGTGCCAAAGACAGGAGAGGGCTTTATTGATTTCATTGGCCAAGTCCACAAAACCAAGGAGCAGTTTGGTCAGGACGGACCAATTACTGTTCACTGCAGGTGAGAAGCAGAATGAAAGAGCGCAGCAGAGCATGTAGTGTGTGATTGTAGTAGCACTGGCTGATATATTGAATATTCAAAATGTTGTAAATCTATATTCAAAATGTCTCAGTCTAAGATTTTACTGACTGTATCCCAAAGCTGACTTTGTATCTGTACATGACAGTTTAAAAGTGTAGGGTCAGAAAGATTCCTCCCCCCCCCCCCCCCAAAAAAATTGGTAACGCTTTAGTATATTAACCAGTTCTCGCTATGAACTAGCTGCTTATTAGCATGCATATTACTAGCATATAGGCTGTTTATTAGTACTTATAAAGCACATATTCTGCATGACCATATTCTACATCCCTAATCCTACCCAATACCTCAACTTAACAACTACAGAAATTAGGAGTTTACTGAGGCAAAAGTAGTTCATAGTTAGTTAACCATGGGAACTGGACCCTAAAATAAAGTGTGACCAAGAAATGAATACTTTTATTCAGCAAGGATGCATTCAATTTATCAAAAGTTACAGTAAAGACATTTATAGTGTTATAAAAGATTTCTATTATGCATGCTGTTCTTTTGAAATGTCTATTAATCAAAAAATAAAATTGAATTAAAACAAAAATAAAACTGGTCAAGGTTTCAACAAAAAACAGCCCAACTGTTTTCAACATGCTTCTTGAGCAGCAAAGACACTGAAGACTGGAGTAATGATGGGTTAGGAAAATTCAGCTTTTCATCATAGGAATAAATTACATTTTACAATATATTCAAATAGAAAACAGCTATTTTAATTTGTACAAATATTTTACAATATTACAGTTTTACTATATTTTTGATCAGTTAATAAAGGTGGCTTTGGTGAACTGAAGAGACTTATTTGAAACAAATTTTATCGACCCCAAACATTTGACTTCTAGATGTTGTGTGTACAGTATGTGTGCTGAACTGCTGTCTGTCTCTCTCTGTCTCAGTGCTGGTGTGGGCAGAACAGGGGTCTTCATCACTTTAAGCATTGTTCTGGAGCGGATGAGGTATGAAGGGGTGGTGGACATGTTCCAGACCATAAAAACGCTCCGCACGCAGAGACCTGCCATGGTACAGACCGAGGTAAACCTGACACCCCAGCAATAGTTCACCTGTCGTCATTTCCTCCAAATCAGACTTTTCATTTTTAGGCAAAGCATTAGTTCAGGGTGTTTTAGTCATGCGTGTTTTAACTGTGTGTGCAGGACCAGTACCAGCTGTGCTACAGAGCAGCTCTGGAGTACCTTGGCAGCTTTGATCACTATGCAACGTAACCACTCCCAGAATGCCTCAGAACGGAGAGCCGCCACTTGTTTCTGAGCCATAATCATCCTACCTATTCAGTCACCACTGCTGGAGGGAGAGAGAGAGAGAGAGAGAGAGAAACGGCAAATAAGAAGAGAGGAGAAATCACTGGAACTTCAGCACAAACCTGTTCCTCTTCTGAAAACAGCAACAAACGCTTCCTTCTGGTCTCTAATGCTCAGCTCCTGTCTCTGTATTACCTTACTGCTTTATGATTACGATCGTTTCATTTTCATATCGATCAGCATCATCCACCATTGTTTTTATTATCATTATTATTATTGTATCATCATTACGATTGGTATATCTGTCAGAAAATACAATATTTGTATCATTTATGCTGATCATTGCATATCTAAGGGGTTCTTTTTATTCTTATTTTTTTCTTATATTGTTATTATTCCTTTATAATTTTTTCGTATATATGTTCAGTTATTTTTAGCACGTGTGGACATGTATTTTCACATGACCCAGGTTACTAATACTATAAGAGGTGTACTCAGAGCTGCTGATGATTTCTTACTTTTTATCATTATTATATTTTAATGATCTACTTTTATTTGGTGGGAAAAGGGGAACTTTTATAAAATATACAATTAAAACAACCTTTTCACCTCCTGATACTTTATAAAACAGTATAATCAAGTATAAAAGAGATGAAACGCTTACACCTGAGTTAGTGAGCTTAATGAACCTGCCGTCGTTAAGGACACTGAATAAACCAATGAAAGGAGAGAACGCGTTCAGAGCCGTTCTGCTCTGAATAGCAGTAAACAGACACTTTCTGGAAACCCTCCATTCTTGAGTGAAAGAAAGACAAGAGAAATGGTGTTCCTGCTGCCACAGCAAAGTCTTTATCCCATGCTGGGTCAGCTGAGGTCAAAGGTCAGGCCTCGACCCGACAGACCTGCACACACACACATGTACAGCCGTCATGTACCTCTAGTAGATCCACGGCCATCCGTCATTCGCTCAGACCTGCAGCTGAAGTGGGGAAAGTCTGCGGCAGAAAACAGACTGCTGAGGCTGGGACTCTCCACGTGTGGTATTATTAACGGCCATCTGATCATTTCTCACTGTGGCTCGTAAAGACAAATCTCCCGTAACGTCGCGACAGCATCATCAGACTGAAAATATGTCCATACTCAAGTGTTTCTTTCCTCCTATGGCCTGAGCACAAAGTAAGATGAAAAATGCGGACACGGGAAGAATTCATTTGACTTTGTGTTCGCATAGAGACAAAACAGCATTCAATCTGTTGTACAGGCGGTCTGTTTTCTATTTGTTAATAAAAAGGAGAGAAATATGTGTTAATAAAATGCTTCATTGGGTTTTGTACATGTTTATTGTGTGGATTTCGCTGCTGTATCCCGGTTCCTTCAGCACATGGGAACAGATGGCTGGTCCCTCTCTAGTGTGTTTGTGTCCTTGCCAGAAATCCAGAGCTGCGCAGCCAACGCTAGTCAGCCCACCGGCCATTGCGGTTTAATGTGAAGGCATGTGGACTGGATTCTCCCTGCTCTACATGATTCATTAGTTCGGGAACACCTGGAGACATTAGTCCTCCTCCAAAAATCTCAGCGACCGGACAGCAAAGTTTACTAATTCTTTTGGAAGCGAATTATCTCACTAATTAGGCACAAATTGTCCCTTTGGTCTGAGGTCAGAGATGTTGTTTCCCATTATAGATTAACAATTAACAAATAATTAAGCCTAATTACCAGTTTGCAGACAACGATCAATGTCTTTGTTTATTGCTGGAGATACACAGATAATTTAAGTGCACATTTTTAACAGGTGGTCTAAAAACCAACAATTTGTTCAAAGGTTAAAATAAAAAACAGGCCATAGTCATTTCAAATTTATTTTCGATATTAAAGATGCAAAATGTAGTAAATTGCATAGAGGCATTACTGTATGTTTTTGCACAAGTAACATATATATTGAATTTATGTATTTATATCAGTTTTATAAATAATGTTTAGTATCTATATAATCATACATGACTCTACGATGATCTATGATATGGGATATACAGATAAGTCTATAGTTATATATTTATACAGTGTACCACATCTAAATGGTTGCATGTGGATTTAATGAGTCAGGTGAGATGTATAGAGTCAGATATATAATTTACAGTAAACACAACTGTTTAGCCTACACGGATAATCAATATTGTATAATCTATATTATAAACAATGATATGACTACATGATGCATACAGAGTTATCTATACAAATAATCTATATAACATTCATATACTATATACTCATACATGTGGTTCTGTATAATATTTGAAACATAAGCATGTTCAGACTATTTAATAAGTCGCCTTAAGGCTAAGTCTATGCTTTGTATATGATCTATATATAGGGTTACATTTTTATGTATAAAACATTCATAAACATCATAGGCCAGTAGGTACATCATGTCATCTTTGCAAGTTAAGTTTTTTTTTTAAATATGTAACTCTATATGAGATGCATGGAAAGGGTCCCATTAGGATGCATATATACAAATACAACTGATCTACATTATCTATAGCCTAATCAATATCTATAAGGTTGTATATGTGCTATAAAAACATCATAAGACTTAAATGAAGTTTGTGTTACATTAATCCATTTTATTTGTTTATTTTATATCTTTATGACCCCATAATCCATATAGCCAATATAATATAGATTGATTTATGCAAAAATACCTAGGCTATATAATATATTCCTTTCATTCCTTTCCTTTCCTCTATGATTGTGCATCTATATCATATATGGCATGTGGAGCATGTGTAGATTATATATCTACAATCCATATTCTATGGCCTCATAAGGGTTCAAATGGAGAGAATTTTCCATACTATCTATATGGCCCCATAGGGTTCATGCGGACTGGAGTGAGTTGATTAGGAGTCGCGCGCAGGGGAACGCCTTCTTCCATCTTTGTAAACAGTGTGTGCGCATGCGCAGTTGCGCTGCTCTCTAATGGAGGACATGTCTGATCTGCAATCGTCTTTTTCTGCGTCGTTTCTCTGAGTTGCGCCCTCAACACCCGTCAGCTGCGCCCGCGGCACCCGTGAGTTAACTCCTCTCGTCCTCTCCTGACACGTATGATCGGGTGTTTGTGTATGTGGAGGGATTTCATGCGTGTTTTAGTGTGTGAATGTCGTGTTTACAGTAGTTAGCCACCATGCTCGTCAAAGTTTGGAGCGACTCAATAATTAATGTAATAACACAGTTATACACTACAACACGCCGTTAATTACTGCGTGTGAATGGATATGAGCGTGTGTGTGTTGCGCTGAAGCGGTGTGTGTGTGTGTGTGTGTGTGTGTGTGTGTGTGTGTGTGTGACAGGAGTACGTTTGTGTTCATTTGAGCGCCTTTAGCCGTCAGCGTGTTTGTTGTTGTTGTCTCGCGGTGAGTTTGAGAGATTTCGCGGTCAAAACTTTCAGTGGTCCTGAGCAGAACCTCGTGATGAGATCATGCCAGATGTATAAATATGATGCTTTTATCATTAAACACCCTGAATGGTCAGATATGATGTGTTTATCAGGCGAACGTCCGCTAGCATGCTAGTGTGAGTTTACAGGTGCTTCTACATTCATAATCTGAAACACTACGGTGGCTTAATGTTTTATTATATAGTGTGTGCTTGAATAAAATAGTGCAGTGAGTGCATTTCTGTATATAAAGTTGCATGTGGTTTATCATATAATGTTAATTTAATTAAAAGTGTATTATTGTCAGTAAAGTCAATGAGCATGTTGTCAGCTGTCACAAGTTATTTCATGTTTACATCAATATGAACGTGATCAGTGTCCTCTAATCAACTTTTTTCTTGGTGTTTACTGAATATTTGTATTTAGTTCAGGTTGGAATATTTATATTTTTCTGCCCTTGTGATGTAAAAAATGTTTATAATTAAATGTAAGAAATGTATAATTATTTTATGAAAATTAATTATTATATGTTTTTTTTAGATTTTTAAGTAATAATTAAATATAGCTTTTTACTGTTTTCTTAAATAAGTATTTATTTTTTATCTTTTTCTTGTTATGCAAATATTTTGAATCACTTTAAATGAGCAAGAATGTGTGTTATAACTAAACCGGTCTTGCCTAGTAGTGGTGGTTTACATGTGGAGTTTACTAGTTGGTTAGGTGATGTGTTTGTTGCTGAAATCTTCATCTTCTGGTTTCTCTTACAGTCCAAGTGGTAGAATGGCTTCGGACTCGGTCTCTCAAAGCTCCCAGAGTCCTGCCACCAGGATCATGACCTTTCATCCCACAAAAGAGGAGTTCAAAGACTTCAACAGATACATTGCATATATGGAGTCGCAGGGGGCTCACAGAGCCGGGATGGCTAAGGTTAGTGTATAAAATGTATTCAGCTCAAACTGCTGTGAGAGGCTTTTTTTGGTTGTTGTGGATGGCTCACTGATGTGCTTGTTTGTCAGGTGGTGCCACCAAAGGACTGGAAGCCCCGGCGCACATACGATGACATTGATGATCTGGTGATTCCCGCACCGATTCAACAGGTGGTCACTGGCCAATCAGGTCTCTTCACTCAGTACAACATCCAGAAGAAGCCGATGACCGTCCGCGAGTTTCGCAAAACTGCCAACACAGACAAGTGAGCAGCAAAGGATTCTTTAAAGACTTCTCAATAAATATTCCTGGTGTTATTATGCAGGATTAATAAATGCTAGTTATTTTAAGTAATACGAACATTCTCCACCTTTGGCGTGACTGTTTCTTTTTTGCTGATGAAACTACATTGCTATTCAGAAGTTTTGGGTCTGTTTTCGTTTAATAAAAAAATACAGGAAAAACTAATATTTTATTATTTTATTATTACTTAAAATAAATGATTTTTATTGTGATATATTTAAACTATAATTAATTCTTGTTATGCGCAGCTGTATTTTCAGCATCATCACTCCAGTCTTCAGTGTCACATGATCTTCAGAAATCATTCTAATACGCTGATTTGCTGCTCAAGAAAGTTTTCTGATTATTATCAGTGTTGTAAACAGGGCCATTTTTGTGAAAATAGTGATACTTTTTTTTTTTTTTCAAGATTCTTTAATTAATAGAAAGTTCAAAAGAACAGCATATACGTTTATACCAGAAACCTTTTTTGACAAATATAATTTGATCATTTAATGCATCCTTGAAAGTATTAATTTCTTTTAAAAGTGCTAATTCAAAAAAGTTCTGACCCCAAACTTTTGAATGGTAATGTAAGTCTGACTGAACAGAGAAACATAATATTATCCAATAATATGCTAACCTACTTTTCTTGATGCATAAAAGTAAATCCATTGACATTATTGCTCATTGTATATTCTTTTTCACTCTGAGATACATGAAGTTGATGCATGACCGTCACCATAATAAAAAGGTTCTCTAACTCGACTGCAGGTTCTGTAATCCCAGATATGCTGATTTTGATGAACTAGAGAGGAAATATTGGAAGAATTTAACATTCAATCCACCTCTATATGGGGCAGATATCAGTGGAACCCTCTACGATACAGTGAGTAATCTGCCCTTTTATATTCATGGAATATTTTTTACTATTATGTTTCAGTTAATAGTGCTATACAGTGATTACAGATATATATGTGACTGTATACAGGACGTGACGGAGTGGAATATTGGCCATCTGAACACTATTTTGGACACGGTGGAGAGAGAGAGTGGAATCACAATCAAAGGAGTCAACACTCCATATCTTTATTTCGGGATGTGGAAGAGCACGTTCGCCTGGCACACAGAGGACATGGATCTGTATAGCATCAACTACCTTCACTTTGGAGAACCCAAGTCCTGGTAATGTCACAACTAAATCTTGTTTTTGGTCAGCATTTTCGTTGTTATTATTATAGTTTATTTTGAAGTATATTTTGCTATTCTCAGTTCATTTGATCAGTTCATTGAGTCATTACTAGTGGTCGACCGACATGTGGTTTTTGACAGCCGATGCCGATATCTTGGAAAGCAGGGTGGCCAATGGCCGATATAATTTTATTTATTTTAATTAATATTCAAGAAATTTGAAATCATTTGAAAATGGATAAAAAAAATAAATGTGAAATTTACATGAATATGACAGTGGGCAAAAGCATAAAGCGCAGCATAATTTGAAATCACGAGTTTACGATCGCACGTCTTCAGTGAGGCTGAACTCTCCACCTGTCAGCATTCAATTCACACGGACCGACCGTCACGCAGAGAACACGCGTTCATGCAGGTCACATGCACACTTCACAAGATCTCACAGCTGGATTCCACTAAGTTTGCAAGGTTTGTGAAATTAAATGTTCATTATTCATTCAAAGATTTGTTTAAATGACAGAAATGCGTATTTGCTGAATGCTGATGGCAAACGAGAAAGTATTACAATGTTTGCCTTTCTATTACTAATAATATAATACTTTGTATACATTTTAATTTCCTTTCTATCTGATTATTAGGCAGACTTCTATCCGTATTAGACAGAACTGTTAACGACGACGGCGAACAAGAGGAAGAATGTGAGCACTGTGTGTTCAGGCGCTGCCGCTCTCAGCGCCGTCAAAATAAAAGTCCCGCCTCGAACGCATCGGCCGATATTTGAAAAATGCCAAATATCGGCCGATATATCGCCTTGGCGATATATCGGTCGACCACTAGTCATTACATTGATTCAAACCAGGATCTGAGACTTTTTGGCAGTTTCATTTAAAAACAAGCTCATTTGTTCATATTCACGACCATTCAAGGTTTTGTTTTTTTGTTTTTAAAGAAATTACTATATTCAGCAAGGATGCATTACATTGATCAAAAGTGACAATGAAGACATCTATAATGTTATAAAATATTTCTATTTGAACTTTCTATTCATCAAAGAATCCTGAAAAACAATGCATCATGCTTCCACAAAATTATGAAGCGGCACAACTGTTTTCAACATTGCTAATAATCAGAAATGTTTGTTGAGCAACAAATCAGCATATTAGAATGATTTCTAAAGAATCGTGTGACACTGAAGACTGGAATAATGATACTGAAAATTCAGCTTTGATCACAGGAATAAATTACATTTTATATATATGAAAATAGAAAGCAGATATTTTAAGTTGTAATCATATATCAGATCAAATAAATGCAGCCTTGGTGAGCAAAAAAAAAGCTAACTGACCCTAATACTATTCATACTGTCCTAAAGAGATTTTAAAAGCATTATGACTTGGTCTTGAATTGAAAACGGGCTCTTCTACAGGTACATTGTGCCTCCAGAACATGGGAAGCGATTAGAGCGTCTTGCTAAAGGTACAGTGGTCTTCTGAAAACATGTCATTAGTTCCTGTTCCTCTTCAGCTGCTCATTAATTAACTCAGTACTCTTTTAATTTTCATTCATGCAGGATTTTTCCCCGGAAGTGCCCAAAGTTGTGAAGCCTTCCTGCGACACAAAATGACTTTAATTTCACCATCTATTCTGAGGAAGTATGGGATACCCTTTGAGAAGGTCAGATGCTTGATTTTTATTATCTTATCCTGTCATGCCTGATTTTATCTCACGATTTGTCTTCTTTCTACTCTATTCATCAGGTCACACAGGAAGCAGGCCAGTTCATTGTGACCTTCCCGTATGGATATCACGCTGGGTTTAACCATGGCTTCAACTGTGCAGAATCCACCAACTTCGCCACCCAGCGCTGGATCAATTATGGAAAGCTGGCGACATTAGTATGATATTTTGCATACATCGCGTTCCCTCAGTTTTTAGTTCATTTTTGGAGTACAAGTATGAGTGCAAGTATGGTACCGCAGGTATGTTTTTGTGTGTTGATGTGCGTCTCTTTCTCAGTGTTCCTGCCGGAAGGACATGGTGAAGATATCCATGGATGTGTTTGTGCGCAAGTTCCAGCCGGAACGCTATAAACTTTGGAAAGCTGGAAAGGACAATGCGCCCATCGACCACTCAAAGTCCACGCCAGAGGCAGCAGAGTTCCTGACAGATGGAAAGACCGAGAATGAGACAGGAGAGCTCAGCGATAGCAGCAAAGCAGAAACACAGGAGAAGAGAGGAGAAGCAGAGGCTGGAGAGGAGCAGAAAGCAAACACGGACGGTGGAGAGGACGACAAGACTGAAATGTTGAAAAGTGAAACAGATGGTGCAAAGGAGAAAGTAGAAGCAGAGAAAGGAGGTCCGGAGGTAGAGGAGAAGAAGCCTGTTAGTGATGAAGAACCAAGCAGCACCTCCGAGCAGATCAACAGGTGTGTAAAAAGAAAATATGTGGCCATTTCTGCAGTCTCCATCTCAGATGCTGATAGGAGTTTGCTTTGCTTTTAGTCTGTGGTTCATTTGCTGACACAATGCATTATGAATGTGAAGTGCTCAAGTACTCATTCACATAATTCCAAAAATTTTTTGGCTATTACATGTTACTATACAAATCTAACCACTGCAAAACTTTATGGACATAGAAGGAGCTTTTCTTCAGGGGGAAAAAAAACATTGTCAACTACACACAGAAACCCAAAGGTCTTCATTTATTGTTCCGTTTTATTTTATGGATCCTGATGACGATTATTAACATCTCAAGATCAGTCTTTTTAATTTTTTAGTGGCTATGTGAATGTATTTGTACAGCACTATTCACGTTATGCTGTATTGTGTGTGTATAGTGACAGCTGAGGGGTGTTGTTAGGTATGGCATGCAGCAAAGTGACGTACAATACAATGTGACGTCAAGTGCCTTATTGTTTTTATATAATGGTTACAACACAATAAAACATATTAAGAACACAAATTTTCATGAAGCATTATTATATGAAGCGGTGTTGTTTTAACTAAGACTAAAACTATTAAAAAATGTTTCAGTTCTTTGCAGTAGAGCTTAAATAAAACATTGCAAGTGAAAACAAACTTGGACGAAGGTTAGAAATGTTGCATTGGCAACTAACTTATTACTTAATTGCTAAAACTGAAATAAAAATTAAAAGCTAAATAGAAATATTAAAAAAACTAAGTAAAAAAAAAGACAAATGCACATAACCAAATAAAACTTGAACCAAATGAAATTTGTATGAAAGCTGAAAATATAAAAATAAAAGCTTTTTCAAAATATTATTATTAAAGATATGCTAAAAGATATAGTAATTGGCTAGAATACTACACTTCTAAAACTAGTTTAATTGAAAATGTAAAACATGCATTTTGCCTTTCAGTAAATACTTACCGACAGTACGTATACTATAAACATGCTCTTTAATTTTTACGGTATAACACAATTTGTCGCATTTCTCCTGAGGGCTACATCTTATGCTTTAGAGAGCACAGTGGTGATGGTTCATGATGGTTCATGAAAAACAAAAGGTGTTTTTTTTAATCCTGTGATTTCCCTTCTCTTCATACAGTAGCACTCCAAAGCAGAATGTGGGGCAGAAACGGCTCAGACCCAGCCCTGACGACATTCAAGTAAAGGTAGAAAAAGAGGAGGAAGTTGAGAAGAAGAAAGCCAAACTCAGCCAGACTGAGACAGATGACAAGAATGAACAATCCATCTCCGATGACCCAGGTAGAGCCTCATATACAGCAAATGATACACCAGCGATGCTGTAATAAAAAGGCTAAAACAACCAATGTGTATTTCTGCAGGTTATGCGCAAGCTGAGGAGACGATGGAGACAGACACGCCCCCTCCACAACAGCAAGAGAATCAAGCCCCTCCCTACATGGAGGTGGAGCTCTCGCCATCAAACCCCACCTCCAGCAGTGATATCACAGCGCAGCAAAGAGATGATGTCACTCCCTCTGAACCCAACGACGTCACCTCATCCTCACAATCCACAAACAGCATCGCTGATGATGAGGCTCAGAGCATTGATGTCACCTCTCAGTCCGAACACGTCACACAAAGCTGTGATGTCCAAAGCAAGCCCGATGACATCACTCCAAACGGTGACCTCACTGATGCGCAGCAGAGTGACATCATGGCCCATTCGTGTTCCAGTGACATCCCTGCCACTGACGTCACGCCTCTCATATTTGTAACCAGCAGTATCACCTCTCTACATGGCATTTACTCCGCCCACACCTGTGATGTCTCTGCTGAACCCAGCGACAGCACTATAGATACCATCATCCCTAGTCCAAGTGAGCCTGGCATTAACTCCTCCCATACCTATGATGTCCAACCAGAACCCAACGACATCGCGGTCAGCCCTAAACACGAACCTGGCATTAACTCCGCCCACACCTGTGATGCCACCACAGAACCCAATGACATCACCATCAGCGCTGAACATGAACCCAGCATTGGCTCCGCCCACAGCTGTGAGGTCCAACCAGAACCCAGTGACAGCACCATCAGTGCTGAAAAAGAACCCAGCGTTAACTCCGCCCACAGCTGTGATGCCCAACCAGAACCCACCGACATCACCATCAAAGCTGAAAATGAACCCAGTATTAGCTCCGCCCACAGCTGTGAGGTCCAACCAGAACCCAGTGACAGCACCATCAGTGCTGAAAAAGAACCCAGCGTTAACTCCGCCCACAGCTGTGATGCCCAACCAGAACCCACCGACATCACCATCAAAGCTGAAAATGAACCCAGTATTAGCTCCGCCCACAGCTGTGAGGTCCAACCAGAACCCAGTGACAGCACCATCAGTGCTGAAAAAGAACCCAGCGTTAACTCCGCCCACAGCTGTGATGCCCAACCAGAACCCACCGACATCACCATCAAAGCTGAAAATGAACCCAATATTAGCTCCGCCCACAGCTGTGATGTCCAGCCAGAACTGAGCAACATCATCGACCCTAAACACGAACCCAGAGTTAACTCCGCCCACACCTGTGATGCCCAACCAGAACCTACCAACATCACTGTCAGTGAACACGAATCCAGCATTAGCTCCGCCCACAGCTATGATGTCCAACCAAATCTCAGCAGCATCATCGTCGACCCTAAACACGAACCCAGTGTTAACTCCGCCCACACCTGCGACATCACCATCAGCCCTAAACATGAACCCAGCGTTAGCTCCGCCCAGAGCTGTGATGTCCAACCAGAACTCGGCAACATCACCAGCAGCCCTAAACCTGAACTCGGCATTAGCTCCGCCCACACCTGGGATGTCACCACAGATCCCAGCGGCATCACTGTCCACCCTGAACACGAACCCTGCATTAACTCCGCCCTCACATATGATGTCATCACTGAACCCAGCAACATCAGCGTCGGCCCTAAACACAAACCTAGTGTTAACTCCGCCCACACGTATGATGTCATCACCGAACCCAGCAGCAGCGCCATTAACCTTAAGCTGGGCGAGTCGCGGTGCAGCTCTGCGTCAGCGGGCGGCAGTCAGGTGTGTCCCCCTGCAGTCCAGCACATCTTCCAGAGAACGCTGAGCCCCGCGGAGGTGCTACATGTCCACAGCTACGCTAAAGGAGATTACAGCGATCTCGAGCGGCGCATTCGGCACGAGAGAGACCGAGACAGCGACTCTGATAGCGACTCTCAAGAGGACAGCAAGGTGCGTATGTGCTATCTGACTCTGTTGTTTAAGCACCTGATTCACTAAAGGAATGGAGTGCTGCAGGAATGACGTTCATTTGTAGAACAACCTCTTAAGTTTGCATCAACCTGGTTCACTTGACAAAACCTTAATAGTATGTTTCCACTGACTTTTGGAAAGTAAGCTGTCACCAAGAAAAGTTTATGATCCTTATGTTTTGTTCATCTTGATAATCGTCACAAATAAACACAATTTTTATGAATTTCGAAGCCTAAATACAGTCACCGAAGTTAAAAAGCTAAAGTTAGGCTATAACACAGTACACCATGGTTGCATGACTTCAATGCCACCATCAGTAAGCTTCCATCAGTGCTTTAATTAAAAAGTATTTTCCTTGAAAGTTTTAGTTTGAATAGTTTGCTAGAGCATGATTAGACTGTAAAAACCACTAGTGAGTAGATGAGTTTAGTTTATTTCCCCGACAGCCTTTGTAATCCCATTTAGCCACTTAGTATCAATTAGGCCTATATTTTTTAAGACAAGTAAAAGCTTTAAAATTCACCAGGGTGTATTGATGTGTTTTATGTTGTAGAATAAAATGTGAAAACATCTTGAGCTTGTGATCACCATAGACTTTATTTCAGACATTTAACCAAAAACACATTTATAAAACCCATTGACAGTGGAACCAGAAGGTTTTAGGACTCATTCCTGCAACACTCTATAATGCAAATTAGTCAGCATTGTAAATACATTTACAAAATTAGTTCCTGACATATTTCTCCTTGAATGCATGTGCTTTAGATTGTGGAGGATTCAGTAGACACCCTCATGCTAGCAAACTATGCTGTTACTGTGCAGCATCACTTTACTGCCAGTCCCAGATATTTAAATTGATAAAATTACACTCAACTGCATCTCGTGTCTGGATATATGCCCGCTTACAGCGCTCTTCATCATCTGATGAATAACTCCTGCCATCAATTAATGACATGCATGAATATCCCTCTTAATAAAAGTTTGGGCACCACCTGCTTTCCACGAGCAGTAGAAGAGTGATGTTAATCGCTCCAGGCAATATAATAATATACTAAACCTAATTTACTCCAAAAAGAAAGTGCTGAAAAGAATGACAATAACTCGATGTAAATACTCAACAATAGCAGCAATAGTAAATGCACTTCTGTGCATTTAGCTTTGAAATCGTGAGTAGATTTGCAAAGCAAAAATGTTCTGAATGCATTTACACATTTTATTTATTTACCCCCCCCCTCCCATTTTCATTGGGTATTTCTATCACATCACAAACCAAATGCAGTTCCATCATGAATCACTAGGGGTTTGCGAGCTCTTGTTTGGGAAACCCTGTTGTATTGTGTGTGTGTGTGTGGCTATGTGTAATAAGCGTGAGTTTGTGTTGTCCTGCAGAAAGAAGCTGAACACCCAGTGGAAGCTCAGCACAGACTTCCCAGACTCCCCAGGCACCATCCTCTGATAAAGGACAGCATCAGTGACGAAGGTCAGTTTGTGGCAGTGTTGTTATTGTTAACTAAAACTAAAATCATAATTGAAATAAAGCTGAACCAAAATAGAAATATTAGATGAAAAACTTCACAACAAAATCAGTCAAACTAAAATTAAAATTAATACTGAACATCTAAAAATAAAAGCTAATTAAAAATATTAATATATACAAAAACAGCATTTATATAATGCTAAGTTAACACTGATGTGTGATCTGTCATTAGTGCAATGGACCACTTTTCAGATCAATGCACTGCCTACATATGTCCAAACTTCTGCTTTATAATTGGTATATAATATATATTTGTATGTGCGCCCCACATCATTTTTTTCACAGAATATTCATTGTAGTCTAAAATATGTCAGAAGTGCGTAATTTCTGCGCACTAGCACCACCAAACAGAATGACAAATGTTTGCACAATGTGCAAAATGTCAGTCCTGCCCTAAAGTCAATGCAATTTGTTTAATTGTTGTTGCAGTGTTGGGTTACTCAAACAGAGCAATGATGAAATGTTCCACACAGTCACAGTGTTGGACTCTTCAGGAAGTTGCCATATGAATGCTTTATTCAGTTGCCAGCCACTGCGCATTTAACTGAAAATGTAACGTAAATCACATTGCAAAAGCATCTTCTGAATGAAGGATGATGTAATGTGATGGATTGTATGTGCATGTGCAGAGCTGCAGGATCAGGCTGCGTCAGAGGAGGACGGGCTGGACGGGGAGGCCTGGGCGCGACCTTTGGCCCAGCTGTGGCAGAACAGACTGTATAATCCAGAAAGAGAGAGAGAGTACAACAGAGAGATGGGTCTGCGGCCTCCATACTGCGCTGTGTGCGCACTCTTCCAGGCACATCAGCGGGTATGCCGGCCTGGTTCAGAGATCTGTGTTTATCTGTTTCCTGTCACTGAGTATATCAAGTGTCTGACACTTCCTGTGCTTTCCTGTACGACGTCCTGTGTATGTGTTTGTGTTCAGTCTGAAGGGGCCGAGAGCGAGCTGGCCGTGGTGCTGCCCGGGGGTCAGATGAGGACCAAGCCTCTGATTCCAGAGAGATGTTTCACCACCACCACTGAGGACAGCGCAGACGTCCAGCCGTCCACGCCTCACCTGGAGGAGGACGGCACCAGTCTGCTCATCAGCTGCTCCCTGTGCAGTGTCCGTGTGCACACTAGTGAGTACTGACCTGACAACCCGGACTATCACAATACTGGTTTTTCCCCTCATCGACTAGCTGTTTGTGGTGCCTGATCAAAAAGGGAGTCATATGTTCATTTCATCTTTATGTATAGATTATATTCTGTTCTTTTGAACTGTCTATTCATCAAAGAATCCTGGGGGAAAAATGATAACTCATTTTGCACAAAAATATGAAACAGCACAACTGTCAACATTGAAAATAATAAGAAATGTTTCAGCATATCAGCATATTAGAAGAATTTCTGAAGGATCATGTGACACTGAAGACTGGAGTAATGATGCTGAAAATTCAGCGTTACATCACAGGAATAAATTACATTTTACAATATATTTAAATAGAAAACGGTTATTTTAAATTGTAATAATTCAAATTTTTTGCTGTTTTTACATTTATCAAATAAATGTAGTATTGGTGAGCATACAAGACTTTTAAAAATCACGGTAGTGTAGTTTGTCTGGTTATAACATGGACTAGAATGTATTATCTTTCCATTATGATGCCTTAAATTAAGCTTTTTTTAAATAAGAAAATATGCTATTAGGGAACAAGTGTCCTGCATGAATGTAAACTCCTTCACTACAAGATGCACCCACGATGATGCTGAGGACAAATAAGGAATTTCATCATAGTTTCCAACACATTTTGCCAGTAAAGGGTGTGTTTGAATAATCCGAGGTCTGTTTAATTCACTCTGTTTGTTCTAGGTTGTTACGGTGTGGCTCCAGCGAGAGTCTCCAAAGACTGGAAATGTGCCCGCTGTAAAGCCAACGCCCTCACCGAGGTACAGCCTAAACCTGACATAGAGTGGCCCAAAAATACATTTGGACACTTACAGAAATAGTTCACCCAGAAATTCTGTACTCATTTACTCACTCGCATGTTAGAAATCTGTATGCTTTCTTTGACATTTCCACCTGTTGGATTTTTTGCTTTTCCATACAATGAAAGCAGACAGTGTTTAGCTTGAACAGTGTATTTTTCTTTCAAATTAATTGAGACTTTAAATTTTCTTGATGTTTCTTGTTTCTGCTTTAAGTCTGGCTTAAGTGTCCAAATAATTTTGGGCTACTATGCACCTGCTTTAAACACATAGTGGTCTTTCATCTCTTGGTTCATTGATGTAGTAGGATGTATTGTAAATGAATGATGTTTGAATCTTTGATTCTTGACAGAGTTGCTGTCTGTGTTCGTTGAGAGGTGGAGCATTGCACAGAGCCAATAATGGCAAGTAAGTAAAATGAAAGTCCACTAGAGGGCAGAACTGATGTCCCGTGAAACACACGGACCCCTGACCTAGAAGTTACCCAGATCTCGAATTGTTAGAAGTGTTTTTGTGGATTTTGTGTGCTTTAGACAAACCAGGACCTTTTGTTTTCATGTAATCTCACTCATTACACAATTCTAGTTTGAGATCACAGAAATCATTCATTGTCTTGCACAAGGTTCATAAAATCTCTCAAGAATTTACCTCCCAAACTGTCATTAGGAATGCTCAGGTAACACATGAAATTAAGTTAAATGAAATTAAACAGAATTTTTACGACTATTACAACAGCAAAAACAAGGAGAAAATATATATATATATTTTCTCATCACAGAGAAAAATTAGGGGGCATTCACACTGGGTAGTTATAGGAACTAGCCACCAGAGGTGTCCTCCGAGAGCTAAATTTTCCCCTAGGACCACATTCAGCAACGTCAACAAGTGGAGGATGAAGAAGTGCCTGGACTTAGGTGCGGTGATACGACCAATCAACTTACTTGCGTCACTGGTAGTTTCTGTTGTGTTGGGTTAGACCTACTCTCAAGCAAGAGCTAATTTAGTTCCCCCTTTAAAGGCTTTTCTAAAACTAAAATCATTTTCAGTTCCTGTGGTGCAAACACATCAAAAAGCAGTTATTTCTGTCAATAGTTATATGAGCTATTAAATGTTCCTCCGGTGCCAAACCCCCTATGATAATTACAAAAAGACTCAAAGGTAAAACAACAAATTACAGTAATTCAGGAAGGAAACGTATTTTATTGTCATGAAAACAATGTTCCATTGTAAAAATGTAAGTGGTCCTAAAAATTCTATTTTCCTAAATGTAATATATAATTACATAATTATTTTTATGTTTTGATTCAACAGTGAAATGTGATCTTGAGAGGTTTTGTGAGATTCATCCTGCTATTTTCTTTGGGACGAGATAATGTTGTATACTTAGCAAAAATCATCATCCCAGGTTCCTAACGTGTCTCTGTGTGCAGATGGGTTCACGTCCTGTGTGCAGTGGCAGTGCTGGAAGCTCGCTTTGTGAACATCGCTGAACGATCGCCCGTGGATCTCAGCGGCATTCCCTTACAGAGATTCAAGCTGGTGAGTTTCTGTTCCCTTCTCTAGAAAACATGCAGCGTGCAAACTGGGCATCCTTTCAAACTGCAACATTTCACTTCTCTGAGATGTGGCTTCACACCAAACCTCCATTAATCAACAGCTCGATGTGTTGTAAATCATGTTGTACATCGTTTGTGTAACAGAACAACACGTTTGACTGCAGATTGTAACTGCAGGATGTTGGAAGTGATTTGGTGTAAGCAGTCACAGTGTTATTTATATCTGCACTCTGGGCCCTTTCCTCCTGTCTCACTTCCTCTAACCTCCTCGTCTTCCTGTGAGCTAATCTCCCTCGTATGTGCTTACAGAAATGCTACTACTGCAAACGGCGGATGAAGAAAACATTGGGCTGTTGTGTGCAGTGTTCTCACGGTCGCTGCCCCACCTCATATCACCCGACCTGCGCACAGGCCGCCGGCGTCATCATGCACCCGGACGACTGGCCCTTCGTCGTCTATGTCACTTGTTGCCGCCACAAAGGGCCGGTGCAATCGGAGGTATTGCGCTCTGAAACACTGAGACTGTGCACTGTAACATGTGACTGCACTGTAAGGTGGCTGCTACAGGTGGCTCTACAAGTTGACCCAATAGTCTCGTCCTGTTTCCTCTTCATCCTTTTTTTAAGTGTTTTTAAGTATTCAAATAGAACAGAATATGTATAACTTTTTCTTTCTCCAAACCATTATTAAAAATAATAAATTTAAGACAGTGGCCATTTGCATAATGTGCACTCAGACTCGCCACCATTGCTCAAATATAAATAGTGTATCACTTTTATTTAAATTGTATTTTAATCATGATCACAGTTTCTGCTTTTTCTTGATTTATTAAGCATAATTGTCCGCAGTATTTACCCACTGGTTAATGACCGTGAAAATGTTTCATTTTAATTTGGCATTTGCGTTATCTTGAATTGATAACAAGCATCCATAAGCTTTCATGGTTGCAGTTGCCAGATGTCAACAGTTTTTTTTTTTAATCCCTCATTCACAGCTTTTCGTTTAAACTGATACATTTTCTGCTCAGTGTTTTGCTTAATCTTTCCAACCTGGAAACCATGCACACACATTCTCTCTACAATGCAAAATATGATATGAGCTGAAAACACCAGTAAACTTGTACAATGGAGTTTTGCAATCTCTTTTGAGATATTCTGCTCAAATAAAAGTGTAATGCAGCCAGTCTGTTTGTGCAGCTAAATCTGCAAGCAAAGCATGCAAGTTGACATTCTCTTGATTTGTGCTTATGTGAAAGTGCATTCAATCTGATGAAATGAAAAAATGACCGTGAATAATAATACATTTTTTGTTCAAAATAATCATGGCTGTTTAACAATGATTGTGCATCCCTTTTGTGAACTGCCATCATATTTGTTGCTGCTTTGATGAGTGATCTCTCTCTTTCTCCTCTGCAGCGTAATAAAGCAGGCATGAGAGAGCTCAGCGTGGGTCAGAAGGTCATCTGCAAGAACAAAAATGGACGCTACTACCAGTGTGAAGTCATACAGCTGACAAAAGAGACATTTTATGAGGTCAACTTTGACGATGGCTCCTTCAGTGATAACCTTTTCCCAGAGGACATTGTGGTAAGATGTGAGATCTGATCTATTCTCTACAGCAGTTTAGGAAATTAAGAAGTAGATTATCTAATTATCAATGGCATGGAAAACCTAGAAGTAACAGGGAATTTTGGGAAAGTTGTGAAATTTCATATTTTTGTGGAAACCATGACACAGTTTTTCAGTATTCTTTGATGAATAGAAAGTTAAAAAGAACGCCATTTACTTGAAACAAAAATCTTTTGTAACATTATAAATGAATTTACTGTCACTTTTGAGCAATTTAATGCCTCCCTGATTAATTAAAGTATTAATTTCTTCCACAAAAGCACTAACTGACCCAAAACTTTTGAAGGGTAGTGTATGATTGGCTCCAAAATACTGTATATTTAAAAGCTGTATTTTATAAATAATGTATTTTGCATGGTTTGGTGTAGAACCGAGACTGCGCTCAGCTTGGTCCTCCACCGCAGGAGGAAGTGGTTCAGGTCAGATGGACAGACGGTCTTGTCTATGGAGCCAAATTCGTGGCAGCTCATGTCATTCAGATGTACCAGGTAAATGTCTAAGAGAAGAGTTCCAGCGGTTCAGTCTGCGTTTAGCCGTTTAGTAAACCACTGCTTCTCTTCAGGTGGAGTTCGAGGACGGATCGCAGCTGACTGCTAAGCGAGATGACGTCTACGTGGTTTGGTGTAGAACCGAGACTGCGCTCAGCTTGGTCCTCCACCGCAGGGGGAAGTGGTTCAGGTCAGATGGACAGATGGTCTTGTCTATGGAGCCAAATTCGTGGCAGCTCATGTCATTCAGATGTACCAGGTAAATGTCTAAGAGAAGAGTTCCAGCGGTTCAGTCTGCGTTTAGCCGTTTAGTAAACCACTGCTTCTCTTCAGGTGGAGTTCGAGGACGGATCGCAGCTGACTGCTAAGCGAGATGACGTCTACACCCTAGACGAAGAGCTGCCCAAGAGAGTCAAATCTCGTCTGGTGAGCTCATATGTTAGGGACATTGCAAGTAAAAATACTAAAAACAAAAAAATTGATGTAGTTGTTGAGCTTGTCAAGTACAATTAATAATTCAATATTTTCTACATATAGAGTGGTCCAGAAGTAAAAAATCATTCATTTTCTCCATGGGGAAAATTATTTTTAAAGATAACTTGTATTAATTATCACATTCCTGCTGTGAGCTATGTGATTGTTTCTCGATGGTGTATGCTTTTGGTGAGGCCATCAGTCCACATTATTGCAACGTATTATTAAAATAATCATGGTTAACAGTTGAATTTATGGTGAAAAACTACATTACCCATGATTCTGTACAGAAAATTCCACCAATCAGTCACAGTGACCAAATAAAATACTTAACTATTTGTGTACATATACATTTATTTTGTGTAAACTTAAAATATATCGTTTCTATAGTTAGTCACCCATTTTAAATGAATAGTTTTACATTTCTTCTTCGTTTTTACTTTGATAATTTCACTTGCATTGTTTCATGGGATTGTAGTTCTTTCCCTCATTAAAGCCGTTAAGCACACAGTTTTCTACTTTTTTTTTTTTTTTTTTAGTATTTCAAATACTTTTTGCTTCAAAATTTTAATGTTGCTGATTGGTTGGGTTCATGGTTTATATTTAAAATCCCTATGGTAAATATGAAAGGGGAAAAAATGGTTCTGGAGAAAGTGGGTGGGCACTAATGCGCTCTGTTGATTTTTGCATATGTGTGATTCAGTCTAAGGCATCAGACATGCGTTTTGATGGCATGTTTGGAGAGAAGAAGGTCCAGGAGAGCAAGAGACAGAGAGTGATCAACTCCAGGTACAGAGGCGACTACATCGAACCCGTCATCTACCGAGCCATCATGGAGTAGCCAGCGATGACCCAGCCTTCACCCGAAACCACCAGCACTCATCCAGAGTCTCCAGCACACCCTGCCAATGTCAGTAGCGTTCAGTTCGCAGGGGTCGGACACCTGGATGGGTTTGATCGCTCCTCAGTGGACTATTACTAGCCCTCAGTCGACCATTTATTCTGATATATGGGTCTAGAGTCGAGGCAGGGTGTTTCACAGTGTCTTTCTCAGAGAATGCAGCTTTGTCATTGGGTGTGACGCCCTTTTAACCTCAGCGCTGTGTAACTGTGCCACAAACACTCTAGAAACACATCAGCATGAACATCAGGTTCATGGAGTCGCTCTAAATTACATTCATTTGATACAGAATATTTGTAATCTCCATTTCATAAAATATATCTACTTTTATCAAATTGCATTAATTTATTTGACTTTAATTGAGGGTGCTGTTTCTACCCATATTTTACCGAACGGAGGTGCCATTGCCATTTTATGGATGCGGATCTCCTTCTTTTTTTTTTTTAAGATCTACGCTGTCGTAAATTGCGCAGTCGAGATCCTGATTATTGTACATTATTTGGAACATAATGAATTCAGCGTGTCTTTGAGTCGTTTTTTTACAAGCCTATTTATTACTGGTGCAATATGAGTTCCAGTGCTGTCGAAGTTCGACACCGATAGGTGTGTTCTGTGTTTGGAAAGAGGATCGCGTAGATACTGAAATGCCAAGAATCTCACTTTCACAGCCGTTCAAGCCCTGCCTTGCGCTCTGGTTCAATACACTTTCATTCAGACGTTTCTATTAATGTAGTTTCGTACTGCTGTCGACATTTTGTCAGAAGCCCCACGGATTTAATAAGCTATTTTTGCACTTCTCAGCTGTTCTTGTATGATCTGTCATCTTTGTCCTTGCAGTAGCCAAGCTCTAGAGACCGAAATGCACTTCTGAAAGCTGAGAAGGCCGTTGTTTGGACTGTCTAGTCGACAGCATTTGAAGAAAGTAAGGTTGTTGCAGTCCTTCAGTTGTTCAATAGATAGATAGATAGGGCTAATCTTCACTATAAAAAAAAAGAAAATTATAAAAGATTTTTTTCTATCAAGAAGCCTATTTTATTGCTTTGTTTTATAATACATGTTTAATGTTCATATACTGTGAGATAGAGTTGTATGTAGTTAATTTAAGAAATCTTGAGCTTTCGGCACGTTTCTTCTGCCTCTCGTGTTGCTTTCAAACTTGAGCCTCGTTCTCACTGCACTTCTGAATGCAGAGGCTCTAGGACTTCCATACATGTATTTTGTAAAACTCATTAATGTGCATCAGTAAAAGATGTGAGCTGATGTGTTTCTTATACTGGGGTGTCTTTTTTCATTCATATTCATCATTTACTGCATTAAACAGCAAGTAACTAGATTTACTGATTTAAATGTATGGCATTTTATTTCACTGTTAATGTTTCAATAATATTTTAATCTTCTGGATAATAAGACCACAGAGCAGTGTTGTGGTTACCACCAGCATACCAAAGCCAGCACAATGGAAAATGTTGATTTTTTTTATAGTATTCTTAATAATAATGATAATTAATGTATTTGTAATAAAGTAAAAAAGTAATGGGTAATGTTGCACAAATGATTAAAAAAATTATTCTGAACAAATCAAAAATAATAATCATAATAATAAAAACATTTTAAAAAATCAGGCTTAATATAATCTTAATATAATCATATATTAAATATATGGTTAAAAAGCAAGTGCCTAATGTTTTTAGAGCAAAGCAAAACGTCAGCAATATTATGTAGTAATTCAAAATTGTTTGAACACAACCCTCACATTTTTTTTTATTAAAACCAATATTAGAAACTTCCGATCAAGTGAAAATATTTTGTATGCAATTCTGATGAAAAAAATCACACTTTATGATAGTACATTAAAAGGATAATGTATCATTAAAAAGAAACAAAAGTAATTAGGAGACTGTTTAATTTATGTTTTTATAGGTTACTACTGTTTATTTAATTGACTGATAAAATTATGAAATACAGTTAAATAAATTGGTCTTTCTTGGGCTGTGCGCAAACGTATACAGACGTTTACGGGAAAATACAACACATTACTTTGCAAAAATCCCCTAAAACAAGCAGTTTGGAGGACGGATGCACGGATTTTATTGGTGTTTTTTTTTTTGCTGTCAGCATACACTGATGATGAAGCTCTCATTCCCAACAACACATCAGTCATCATCAGACGAATCCCTGCTGTTGGGCTCAAATCCACAAACACAAGATTTGTCAAGTAAGTCACGTGACATGGACACAACTGTTATTATTTAGATGTAATATGAAGAATCATAAGTGTCATTGGTGTTTTAGTCATTTGAACTCTGCTGTTTGGTTTTGCAGTAATCGGCCTGAACCATCATGTGGATCTTCACAAACAGTATGTAGAAAAGTGTTTGCATTGGTCTTCATGTTTATTAACATTATTTGGAAAGGTTCTTCATCGAAAATTCGATTCGTATGGTTATTTTGTACTCTAACATCGTCGAATGGCTTCTCCAGTATATCCCAGATAGCCACGTTTACTACGTTTTATTATTTTACACTGTTTTTGATCAAACTGTCAGGACAAGCCATTTGCTTGTTGCGAGTCGAAGGTAAGCCCACTTCCACTGAACGGTTTTAAATCATATTTTAATTCTATATGCACTATTGTACAATTTTATCTTACATTTTCTGTATGAATAACCGCATTTGCTGTATGATTACTGGAACATTACACAATAAAACTATTATTAATTCCTTCATTCTGATTGGGTTTCTGTAGACTATCGTCTCCTTCATGTCTCATCTATGTCTCTGCGTGTCTTGTTCATGTCTCTGGTCTCCAAACTCTATGTGGCTGACCTCACTATTGTCCTAAATAAGCCTTGTGTCTCGTCACAGAGGTAAAACTCCTCTTGTGTTCATGTTTATTTCAGCAGCAGGTTGGTGATTCTTCACCAGTTTCACTGGATCTGCTTCTGAAGGTATTGAAAACAATGAGAAATGCACTCTGCTGCACTGTAATGAACTTCAGTGTTTGCATATGAAGTGTTGTAATGAAGACAATAAGTGCTGAATATCATGCACTGTGAAGCCACAACGACACACAAGCAGCTTCTTCCAGGAGGTTTGAGTGTCTCAGTGCTAAACATTAAAACATGCAAATGCCTGTGAAACAGACTGAGAATCTGGCAAATGCATCAGAGGAGGACAAACTCAAAGTCCAGTCTGCTATTATTCCAGCAGGTGAGTGTTCAGACATTGAGAGTGACTGAATCTGTGATGTGTGAGAGATGCTCATGATTCTGACGTTCATCAGTGATGCGATGAAGCTGGTCGGACTGCTTCCACCAAACTACATCTGCTTCCGCTGTAGAATTCCTGGACATCACATTAAAAACTGCCTGAGCAATGGGGTAACTGGGCTTTGCTCATGTTGTGTTTGATCTGTTTAGCGATGCGATTGGGAAGAAAGAGAAGCCGCCCTTCTCAGCCCAGAATGAGCCTTCATCCTCATCCTCATCCGATCCGGTTCCTGCTGCGCTGCTGTGTCTCAGTCTTTATTTTAGTCAAGACCTCTGTAGTTTGTGGAGCCACAATAAATAAATACAGCACCTTTAATTATCACCAAAGCTCATGAAGCACAGCAACAAAAACTTCTTTGTTATGCATGTGAGATTAGATATGGAAACAGGTTCATTCAGTTTTTAGAATGATAGAGTCTGTTTTCTATGGAAGCCCGTTTCCGCCACTGAATAAAAAATAAAAGAGGTAATTGCAACTTTTTATCTCACAATTCAGATTTTTTTTTTAGCAATTCTGACTTTTTTTCTTAGAATTGTGAGATATAAACTCGCAATTGCGAGATATAAAGTCGAAGTCCAATTTTGAGGGGGGAAAAGAAGACTGATATGTTCTCAGAATTGCGAGTTTATATCTCACAATTCTAAGAAAAAAAGTCAGAATTGCTAAAAAAAAAATCTGAATTGTGAGATAAAAAGTTGCAATTACCTCTTTTATTTTTTATTCAGTGGCGGAACTGGGCTTCCATAGTTTTCTTTTAAAACTGCATTTGCATGCATTTTATTTTACTGCATTTGCATTCAATTTATTAATTTAGAAGATTTTATTTTTTCCAAATTGATTTTAAAATAAGAATAATGCAAACAAAATAGTTTAGTTAAATTTAGCTTCCTGTGCTCATATGTGAGAACAGACAGAGCATTGTGTTATTGTGAAGTGCACTTCCATTATCCTGCGGATAAGACTTTTTCTCAACTGTCCTTGGATTAGAACAGACTGCGGTCAACAATTATGAGGCAACAAGACTAAATCTCACGTGCACTTCCACTGAGAATCAACTTCTCTGGAAGTTGGGCTTTACTGACATCATAAGGGATTTTCCCTCTGAAAAAGCTGAAAAAGCATTTGTATTAATTTAGGTAGTATTATCTGTGCATCTATTTAACCATCTTTTGACCTACAAAGTATATAGAGCTATGTCTATACAAGTAGATGGATTTTGATTTTGTTTTATTTTTTAACACTGAAGCCAGAAAAGTCATGTTCGTCACCATCATGTGAACATAGCACAAGACAGATTAAAAACAAGACTGATGAACAAACGACTTTTAAAGATGTACGGGTTACAGCACAATAAAACTGAGTGATTCATTGTGCAATAAAGAAGCACTGTGATATATTTATGGTACAGTGCATGATTATCTTATTGTCATGGTCCTCCAAAATACCATTGTAATGGCATTGTATTTTGATAATTGTCTGTTAGTGACAGATCTATTGTTATTGTTCTTACCGTTAGTAATCTTTACAGTAGTAGACTAATACGTATAACACATAGCCTATCTCAAGTAACACCACTGTGTGTTCACTCAGCTATGCACGAGTGTGTAGTAGTGGAGTATGGTGTGTGTGTGTGTGTGTGTGTGTATTTGTGTACTGGTTTATATATCCTGGTGGGGACTTAAACCTGACTACACACAGACTCATGTCACGGTGGGGACCTAAATTGTGGTCCCCACGGGTACAAAAGCTTATAAATCATACAGAATTAAGTTTTTTGAAAATCTAAAAATGCAGAAAGTTTCCTGTGAGGGGTAGGTTTAGGGGTAGGGTTGGTGTAGGGCAATAGAATATAGGGTCTGTACAGTAGAAAAACCATTACGCCTATGGAGAGTCCCCACAAGGATAGCTGACCAGACGTGTGCGTGCGTGTGTGCGCGCATGTGCATGTTCAAGCCAATAGCTGTTCAGGCCTCACAGAAGGACCCTCCTCCTCCTCAACCCTTAAGGCATGAACTGTTTTCTCTTCACCGGGGGAACCGAGCCGATAAGCGGAGCTGAGAGATAAAAGACATGTTTTTCTCGTTCCGCCAGAAGAGCTGTAGCGACCGACGTGTGAGACAGCGGTGTGTTTATGGACATGTTTACATTATCGCTGCGTTTCTGTGAGGTAGGAGCACAGTTAGCCTCGCACACACTGACACGCGCTAAACGTTTTGTTGACACTTTGTCTCTTGTAACGGCTGTGGTGTCGGCCGGTTCTTATTAACACCGTGTGTACGTTAACCGTGTGGTTGTGTAGTTCACGTAATTGACGCGAGTCGGTGGGCCGAGAGGAGTTTAGGTGGTTTTGAGGTTTAGCCAAAGCGCTAACGTGTCTGTTACCGTTATGTAGCTCACAGACACACAAGCCACCGGTAGCCGAGCAGCTTCCACTGGTTAACGTTACCAGGCTCAACCGAGTTTCTGAATCGTTAAAAACGTTTACTAGTTATTAAAAGAAGTGTGTTTTCAAGTGTGGTGTTTTTTGTTTTTTTAAACATTGAACTAATTAAATTTAATTTGATTATAAGCAAATGACCAAAAGTACTGTGGTGATGCGATTTTTGGACATTAGCATCGCAGTACCATGTATTTGGAAATACACCATGATAATGAAGTACCTGGGAGTGCCGTGTAATTAACGTGGTGTTTTATGCTTTTAGAAGTCGTTTCAGAAAAGATCCCGTTGTTATTTTATGTTATAAAGTATATAATATTATATAAAGGTAACACATTAGATTGTTGAAAAAAACAGCATATGCTGGTTAGGTATGTTTTGATGCTGGTTTACGCTGGTCCTTTTGTGTACCATGGTATTGCTATGGTACTTTTTAAATAAGAGTAGACAATTTAAAAAAAAAAAAGCAAAAATTGTGTTTTATCCTATTGGGAGCTATGGTATTAAAGAGACCCTGTTTTTTTTTATAACATTATATTAATAATATGTATTGTTTGTTTATTACCTAACCAGCATATGCTGTTTTTTTTTCAACAGGGCACGTATTCACTTTTAACTGAGTGTTTTCCCTCAGTAATCTCCTAATTTGAGGTCTGTTGATCGTAATTAATGTAGTTAGTTGTTGAAGTAGTTGGTTTAGGTATTGGGTACGGTCACGAATATGGTCATAGAATAATCCATTAACATATGCTTTATAAGTATGTTACCTAACATTTTTAAGCCATTGAAATAAATACCAGTTTAGGTTTTAAACTGTCATGAATTGAAAGACCAAACATCAGTTTAAGAAGTTGCTGTTTGTCTTGCGAAAGCATGCCGTGATTGATCAGTGTGTTGTGTGTTTTCAGGTGACTCAGACTGGATGAAGCCTCGTGTGAGATGATCAGGATGAAGTCCACACGTAGCTTCATGTTTTTAATTTGTCCCATCATGGTGCTGATATTCCTCTACTATTCGTCTGGCAGACTGCACCTACGGAGCCCAGTCCAGAAATCTCGTGAGTATACATGTCGTCATGTGACTATTTTCTTACGTGGAACACAAAAGGAGAATGTCCGACACACATGCCTTTAAATGAAATATAATGATTGTTTGGCTACAAGTGGTCAGTACAGAATGAATCAGCATGATGCAGTTTTCTAGCTCTAGTTAGTCACACACAAGAATCCCCTTATGTGTGGTGTCCTTTAGAGTAAACGTTCGACGGCGGGGATCTTTGAAAATGCTTTTTGTTTCTCTGAGGCTCTTTTCATAACAGATTTTTCATTTCTCTAAACAGTGAAATGTCACAACTTTTGCTTCCCTACATCTGGTTTTCCCCAGTGATACATAATGCCTGAAATGAAGGCTGTTGGTTTAGCAACCTTTCTCACTGACTGATTCTGCCTGGTCTTCCTGTTTGGCATCAGATCACTGGGGAAGCCATGACCTTAAACTGAAAAGACCCTGGAAAATAAAGGTTTGGTTTGCGATGATGTCCAGAGGAGGGAGCTAAGAGCCCATCGCTGTCCATGTCCACCTCATGGAATAAGTCCAAAAGTAGCCAGCAGGCTAAAAAAGGGTCCGCTTTGAAGACAAAATAATACCCAAATGATCTTTGCTGTGATGGAACTTTGCTTAGAATTACTCTACTCAGCAAAAAGATCTATTTTTGTCTCTTCAAATATTTCGTATTTCACAAAAGCACCTTTTAGATTTGCCGCTGATAAGTTTTCACGGTTTCTTTCACACTACAAGTTTAAGGTGTTACACTGTACTTTCACACGCGTAACAGCACCACCACGATCGCATGTCACGAGAGAAAATTAGAAGCTGTGGTATCTGATATCACCTCTAATGCAGTGAATAAGGGAATTAATTATACAGCTTTGAATTAAATTAAACTTAATTATACAGCTGAAAGAATTTGATTCCTACAACTATTAGCAACAAAGAAACTACTGTTTAAGGGTTTGAGGTTAGTACTTTTTTTTTGTTTGTTTTTCAAAGGAAGTCTCTTATGCTCACCAAGGCTGCATTTATTTGTTAAATAAATACAATAAAAACAGTTTTGTGAAATATTATTGCAATTTAAAATAGCGGTTTTCAATTGTAATATATTGTAAAATGTAATTTATTCCTGTAATGTAAAGCTGAATTTTCAGCATCGTTACTCCAGTCTTCAGTGTCACATGATATGATGACCAATGTTGAAAACTGTTATGCTGCTTCATACTGTGGTGCATTTTTTTAAGGATTATTTGATGAATAGAACGTTCAAAAGAGCAGCATTTATTTGAAATAGAAATCTTTTGTGACATTATAAATGTCTGTACTGTCACTTTTAATCGATTTAATGGATTCTTGCTGAATAAAAGTATCTTTCTTTAAAAAAAAAACAAAACTTACTGACCCCAAACTTTTGAACGGTTGTGAATATTGTCATGTATTATAAATTGATTTGTGATTAAAGAGCAGGTATCTTTCATGTTTGTGATAATGAAACGATGGAAATACAAATCTGTTGTTCATTATCTGTGCTATTGATACTAAAACATTTGGTTCTGACTAAATGCAGAGGTGAAAATATGCAGTTATTACATTAAAGAGACTAAAAATGACTGTAGTTGGTGTAGTCTGGTTGATTCAGTCATTAAAGTGCCCCTATTGTGCCATTTTTACAGTTCCTAATATTGTTTTGGGAGTCTCCTGCAATAGGATTACATGCATGCAAGGTCAAAAAACGCTTTAGTTTTCTCAAAATATGCATTTAATATCACCTCATTTTCCAGCGATTCTCAAACGATTCGTTTGAAGCCGTTCTAAGATTCAGTCTCTCTAAACCCCTCCGTTCCGTGAGCCTGCTCTGCTCTGATTGGTCAGATGGCCTAGTCTGTTGTGATTGGTCTACGGCGCATTTTGACGTATTTTGAACGCTCTATAGAAAATTATCTATTATTTATCCTACTTACAGGTTGTGATTCAGTAGATCAGCTGGTCCAAATAAACAGGATACTGATCCATCTTTCAACAGCAAGCATTTTGTGAATCCCACATTGAACTTCCCGAGATTAGAGAAGCAGTCGTCAGTAGAATGATGTGTTTGTGGGCGGGGTCAAATTGTTCGTGGCCGGCCAACGTAGAACATAGGCGCGCATTATGCAAATGTGTTACCCCGTGACGTGTAGCCATCACGGAAGTGGGATTCGAATTATTAACGACTCGTTTCAGCTGTGCAAAGTCGATTATTTTGGGAGATAATAGCTTTATTTATCGTGCACTTTCAGCTTTACAACTTTGCAGATCGTTTACATTCACATACAGCTACATTACACACTGCATGAAAGGCAATAATGGAAATGGCATAATAGGGGCACTTTAAACCTTGTATAAAACATTTTATGTTTCATGTAATCATTTATGGAGTTCAGGTAACAAAGTAATGACAAACAATACATTGGAACTGGGAATAATCTCTTTAACGAAGTCTGATCAGCATTTGTTAGTAATTTTGCTGCATTTGGCTTTTTGGCACATACAACAGACAAAAGCTTCAGGACTTTTTCTCGTTCACCAGGCTACGTCACTCTAAAATTGAACCACAAAATGCTACCATATTGCTTACTGTGTAACTAGTGTAATTCATAATCATGTAAGTGCAAGAACAGAAAATCAGCTTTTCTCTGTTCACAGTCTCACACAGACTTTTCTAGCGCTGCTGCATTTTGCACATTCCTTATACAGATATGGTGTGGTTTCTATGAATATTCTTGGTTCCCCTCCAAAGTCCACCTGGCAGAAACTCTTGACTGTAAATCAGAATTGAATTTAGCCTTGATGTTTTATTATAGATGTTTGGTACAGTTGACCTATCTGTAAGCACCTCCCCTCGAACGCAGAAGCTCGCATCGGTTTGATGGGGTTTATGCTACAAAAATGGGAAAACAATGTGCCTGGGGTATTTGTAACACTGATTCCAGGTATCCTGAGAGGATGGGCAATGGAATTTATTTTATTCCATTTCCTAAACCCAAACAAAACGGAGCAAAATGTCCATAAGCATTTAACTCTGTTACGCCCCATGGCTCGAAAAGGACGTGTGCGAATAATATACAAAATGTATTAACAAAATAGAACTATACAGAAAGAAACAATGTAACATGAAGCAGTCAGGAATCAGTGGTGTAAAGTTAAGTGAATGCATGAAAGTGTAATGGTCTGTAGTAATGTTGGATGTATAAAGTAAACAAGGTTAAACAGAAACCAAAAAGACCAGTTACTCAACCTCAGGCTTTCAATTCAGAGATGTAGATGAGTTTAGCATTCCATCACTTGCTCACCATTGGATTCTCTGCAGTGAATGGGTGCCGTCAGAATGAGAGTCCAAACAGCTGATAAAAACATCACAATAATCCACACCACTCCAGTCCATCAGTTAACATCTTTTTAAGTGAAAACTTGCATGTTTGTAAGAAACAAATCCATCAAGATATTTTAAGTTTTAAACTGTTGCGATTGGCCAAAATATGAGTTCATAATTGATAATAACACTCCCCCCTGGTGAAAAAGACCATCTTCAGTTGTCTCTCACATCAAAATCCACCCACATATTTGTTTAGAGTTGTTTTGGACTGTTTACTGATCTGTGCAGATTTCTCTTCTGATTCAGACAAAATTACTTTTTCACTGGAGAAAGCACTATTATGGATAGATGACTTGGCTGGAAGCAATGATTTTAAGTTATTTTCATTATAGATTTGTTTCTTACAAACATGCAGCTTTTCACTGCACAAGACGTTAACTGATGAACTGGAGTGGTGTGGATTATTGTGATGTTTTTATCAGCTGTTTGGACTCTCATTCTGACGGCACCCATTCACTGCAGAGGTTCCATTGGTGAGCAAGTGATGTAATGCCACATTTCTCCAAATCTGTTTTGATAAACAGGCTAACTCATCTACAAATCGTACGACCTGAGGGTGAGTAAATGTTCAGCAAATTTTCGTGTTTGGTGAACTGTTCTTTTAAGCACAATTTCTGTGTCTACAAAACTAATTTCAAGTATTTAGGCAGTTTTTTAAGATTATTTTAAGGTTCAATCAATTGTGTCCAGACTTTTAACCAGTATTGTAAATCATGTTGCAGTCGCTAAATTGGTTTATTAGCTGGTTAGTTGTTAAATGTATGCATTGCCGCATTTCTCATAGTTTTTCAGGAACTGCAGATGCCAAATGTGTGGAACCTATGCTTGTCCAGTCTCTCTCATACATAACAGAATGCATTGTTTTTAACTGTGTGCTGTACGGCACCCTCTGAAGGTCTGTTTGTTTGGTTTAGTTGCATTATGCACTGAGTGTTGTATTTGTTGTCTGATCTGCTAACCATCAGAAGTTGTGTGAAGTCACGGCCTTGTTTTGCTGTCATCGCTCTAGTCCTGGTGCTGCTGTTCAACACTGTTTACAGAGACACTAAAAGCATCTGATCTCACTCAAACAGAGGTGATGACATGCCTTCTGTATGCTGAACTCACACTCTTGTGTTTCAGAGGCTGATTTGGATAGGTTACTCTCCGCGGGACGTGTAGTAGCTTCAGGTAGAGGTTTACCGTATACTGATTCTACAGTAATGTTGGGAGATTCATCTGCATAATTTCATTATTAAGGGAGATCAATGTTGAAAGCAGTTGTGCTGCTTCGTGTTTTTGTGGAAACCGTGATCCATTTCGCTCAGGATTCTTTGATGAATAGAAAGAAATGGAATATAAATCTCATGTAACATTATAAATGTCTTTACTTTAAACTTTGATCAATTTAATGCATCTTTGCTTGAATAAAAGTATCCATTTTACTCTCCCCAAACTTTTAAGGTTGTATAACTCTATTAAATTGTATATGTAACACAGCAGCAGGTTTGAGACAAATGCTTGTTTTCTCAAGCATCCTAGTTCAACACTGTTCAAAATACAAGAAGTTCAAATTAATATACAAAAATAATCAAATCACTAAATTGCACATTTGGTCTCCCAACATTATGAAGCTTCTCCATTGCATTTCTAGTATTTAAGCAGAATTTTTCCCCTGCACATTCAGTACAAAGACACCTGTCGTGCTTCTGTCTTGATGAAGTTAATAAAGATTTATATTTTTATGCTTTGCAGATTTTTTTCCATATCAAGCACTGGTGAAAAACTCTTCTGAACACTATTAAAAAGTCATAAACCTGGAATGATTTATATGCTGTACTAAACATTGGTCTATTAATATGGAGTAAATACCAGTCCAGTCCTTCCCATATTAAAATCTAGATTACAGTAATGATACTACTAATAATGTTGATATAGGGATAATGTACTGATAATGATACTGACTTTTAAATGATTAAAACTGTAACAAATGTATTTTCTGGCAATATGCAACTGAAGGTCTGTCAGCAATATCTGTGACCTGCAAATACTTTTTTATTGTTTAATACTTTTTTATTGATTATAAAAACAAACGTGTTTACAGTAATACACGTGTAAACGTTTAAATCATGCAGATATTCCTCTGTAAGGCGTAGCAGCATGTCACAGATGTCGTCAGTAGAGCTTAAGCTGTATTTGACCCAGAATATGTCTCGAGTGAGGCAGTGATAACAGGTGGCAGGTAGCTGACAGAAGCACTGTGATCTTTGTAAGATTCCCTGCGCAGTTGACTAACACCTGCTGCAGCTCCTGCGGCTTCTAATGCAACATCACTGCTACCAACCACACCAATGCAGCGCCCAGAACACACATCTTTCTTTCTTTTCCTTCCTTCCTTCCTTTCTTTCTTTCTTTTCCTTCCTTTCCTTTCTTTTCTTTTTCCTTCCTTCCTTCCTTTCTTTCTTTCTCTTTCCTTCCTTCCTTTCTTTCTCTTTCCTTCCTTCCTTCCTCCCTCCCTCCCTCTCTTTCCTTCCTTCCTCTTCCTTTTTTCCTTTCTTTCTTTCTTTCTTTCTTTCTTTCCTGTTTGTTAGTTTTATCTTTGTTTCTCTCATTTGTTCACTCTTGTTTTAGTTTTTCTTTTTTTCTTTTGTTTGTTTGTTCTTTTTCATTTATTTTTCATTTGTTCTCTTTGTTCTTTCATTCATTGTTTTGTTCATTTGTTGTTTTAAAGTAGTGCTTTAATTGTTGCTTTTGTTTTTGTTTCTTTAATTAGTTTTTCCTTTCGTTTGTTCGTTCTTTATTTTGTTATTTTTTTGTGTATTTGTTCTTTTCTTTCTTTCGTTTGTTGTTGAATCTTTCTTTCGTTCATCCTTTTTTCATTGGATAATTTTTTTGCTCTTTCTTTCTTTTGTTCTTTTTCATAGATCGATCTATCTGTCTATCTATTTTTCTTCTCTCAGGTTATTAAGTATTCAGCTTATTTTATCAAAAATGTCTTGACCTATTTTTAAGGGTTCTTTCTTTGTATGTGTATCAGTTTTCTTTTGTCCGGAAGTAACACATCTCTGTAATATCCTTCTGTGTTAAACATGTAACATCACTTCACTCTTATAAAATCAGACTTCATGGGTTCTAAAACTTTATTACCTGCTTCAGTGAACTATGCAGTCTAATGTTGCCTGGCACTTAGAACAATAATATACTTGTTGATCTCACTTGGTAGCAGCCAGTCCTCTTTTTATGATTTCATAAACGTCATATTTAATCTTAATTCATTTTATCAGCTTGCATAATGATGAATGATGTGTGTTCGTGTCATCCTTATCAATCTTTAGTCAAATACTCTTCTAGCCTAGCTGTGCTAGTCATATCCCTTTTTTTCACCTTTTTTTTTATTCTTACACCAATCAGTATTTCATGTCTATATTGCAACTGTACATAGTTTCATCTAAAGTTTGTGAAATGTTTAGCCAAAAACATGCAAATGCTTGACTAATGCATTGCAAGCACACATTCCTCATGTAGTTAGCTATAGGTAGATGATTATAAACACATTCATCAATCCCATCAAGATTACTTTAAAATGAATAATTCACTAAAGTGAGAAAGCTATGCGTACTTGCATTGTGTAATCACTTTTACTCCGCAGTGTTTGTATTTTCTTTTTTTTTTGCATAGACTATATTTCAGTATTTTCCTTCCTGGCTGTTCAGAGTCAATGCTGGTAGCCATCGAATGGCATTTTACTGAACAGCCATATTTAATTTTGTTTAGTTTACTGTTTTTGTGCAACTGACTGTCACCCATGTTGGTCTTTACACAGTAATCAGCCTCTCACTTTCCTTCTGTGTAACTACAATAATAATCTCTTTCTTTATATCCTGCGCTCTCAACAACAGATATACTTTTCTGCTGAAATATTTCCATCCCTTCCTGTTGGCACAGTGACGATAACACACTGCATCTCTCTTCTTTCTCTTTTAGGGACATAAACTCTGTTGATTTCTTGTGTTTCTTCTCTCTTTAGAATACGACAAGCAGGGATTCCTTACCAAGCTTGACAGAAAACTGTAAGTAACACATTGTTGAGGGTGTGGGTTCTCCGTGAGCATGGGGTTCTGTTCCAAAACCTAGTGAGTTGCCTACATAGGCAGCATTTCAATATGCATTCATCACTGCACTAAAGGTTAGAACAATCATGCTGCCTTCTAAAATTCCTATTTAATTAAATGTTAATATTTTACCAAAGAATATATATATATATATATATATAATTTTTCTTTTTCTTTATATATTAATGTATTAAATTATAGATCAGTATTTTTACATATATTTTTAAATATTTGATAATAGTTTTATTAAATGTATACAATATAAACTTGAAAATGTATTATTAAAGAAACTTTCATTTCTGTTTCCATGTTTCATTTAAAAAGGATGTTGATGCATCACTAGTTAGGCCTACCATGCGATATGTATAAAATCTTTGGTTTAATATTTCATATAAACATTATTGGATTTTTATTTTTCTTTATATATTAATGTATTAAATTATAGATCAATATTTTTACATATATTTTTTAATATTTGATAATAGTTTTATTAAATGTATACAATATAAACTTGAAAATGTATTATTAAAGAAACTTTCATTTCTGTTTCATTTAAAAAGGATGTTGATGCATCACTAGTTAGGCCTACCATGCGATATGTATAAAATCTTTGGTTTAATATTTCATATAAACATTATTGGAGTTCAGGGGACAAAGTAATGACAAGTAATACAAGCCTCTGTGTTTTAACGTACAGTAGAACTGGGAATAATCTATTTCTATATACAAGTTACTTTTTAACTATTGACAAAAATAGTTCAGTCTAATTAAAATGGACTACTTCACCCTACATTTTATGCTCTGTTGGAGTCGAATCTTTCACGAATTTCTGTTTGTATGACACACAGAATTGTTGTCTATGTTCCAAACCATTTTATTTCAGTTGGGAAGTTGCCTTCGAAGGCAGCTGGCTATGTAAGGCAAGACCGCTCTCTAGGTTTCGTAACAAAATTTGAGAGTGTGCATGTATGTGTGAGTTCACTTTGGCCTGTACTGTCCAGCAATTTGTCTCTCTTTATAACTCGGCTTGTTGTTTATTTGAGCTTTACTTTGGAAGGATAATTAATGGCGCCCTAAAGCATTTCTAATGAATGATCTCTTGGCTCTCACCCAGCCTTGTCTGATTTAACAGTCCTGATTGTATCTGTATGGGAGGTCCGTTTACCCGAAGTAAAACATGGCTCGACCCCTCTTATTACCATTAACGGCCACCTGTATAAATGGCACTGTCAACAGGTCATCTTTATATGTCCAGCACTCACAGTATTGATGTAAACTTACTAGAAAGTTTCCATTTGCCGGCCTGTGAATTAGTGGGTTTATACTGACGCTTATATAAAATAAACTACTCCTCACACAAGTTGTCATCTCATTGAGCAGCCTTGTACATCCTCTGGGCACCATGAGCTCGACACAGCTGCTTTCCCCTCTCTCCAGACCACAAAGCATTTAATAAGACAGAGCTCTATTTTAGACATGTTAATCTGCTTGAGAATTAATGAACTTCCATAATAGTCAAATTTAAATCAATCAAATTTATATCAGTATGGTCTGAGGCATTTTAAATTACTCCACAGATTTATTAAAGGTGACAAGATTTATTATTTAAGTGCTATAATCAGGTCCCCGGCGCATCTACCAACCAAGGAAACATGAAAAAGATTAACCCAGTAACTTTGTTTTGGGAAGCCTTTTTCTGCAAGCGTCAGATTTCGCTCCCTTGGTGACGTGGCAAAGGGATCTCATTATCCAAAGAATATATATATATATATATATATAATTTTTCTTTTTCTTTATATATTAATGTATTAAATTATAGATCAGTATTTTTACATATATTTTTAAATATTTGATAATAGTTTTATTAAATGTATACAATATAAACTTGAAAATGTATTATTAAAGAAACTTTCATTTCTGTTTCCATGTTTCATTTAAAAAGGATGTTGATGCATCACTAGTTAGGCCTACCATGCGATATGTATAAAATCTTTGGTTTAATATTTCATATAAACATTATTGGAGTTCAGGGGACAAAGTAATGACAAGTAATACAAGCCTCTGTGTTTTAACGTACAGTAGAACTGGGAATAATCTATTTCTATATACAAGTTACTTTTTAACTATTGACAAAAATAGTTCAGTCTAATTAAAATGGACTACTTCACCCTACATTTTATGCTCTGTTGGAGTCGAATCTTTCACGAATTTCTGTTTGTATGACACACAGAATTGTTGTCTATGTTCCAAACCATTTTATTTCAGTTGGGAAGTTGCCTTCGAAGGCAGCTGGCTATGTAAGGCAAGACCGCTCTCTAGGTTTCGTAACAAAATTTGAGAGTGTGCATGTATGTGTGAGTTCACTTTGGCCTGTACTGTCCAGCAATTTGTCTCTCTTTATAACTCGGCTTGTTGTTTATTTGAGCTTTACTTTGGAAGGATAATTAATGGCGCCCTAAAGCATTTCTAATGAATGATCTCTTGGCTCTCACCCAGCCTTGTCTGATTTAACAGTCCTGATTGTATCTGTATGGGAGGTCCGTTTACCCGAAGTAAAACATGGCTCGACCCCTCTTATTACCATTAACGGCCACCTGTATAAATGGCACTGTCAACAGGTCATCTTTATATGTCCAGCACTCACAGTATTGATGTAAACTTACTAGAAAGTTTCCATTTGCCGGCCTGTGAATTAGTGGGTTTATACTGACGCTTATATAAAATAAACTACTCCTCACACAAGTTGTCATCTCATTGAGCAGCCTTGTACATCCTCTGGGCACCATGAGCTCGACACAGCTGCTTTCCCCTCTCTCCAGACCACAAAGCATTTAATAAGACAGAGCTCTATTTTAGACATGTTAATCTGCTTGAGAATTAATGAACTTCCATAATAGTCAAATTTAAATCAATCAAATTTATATCAGTATGGTCTGAGGCATTTTAAATTACTCCACAGATTTATTAAAGGTGACAAGATTTATTATTTAAGTGCTATAATCAGGTCCCCGGCGCATCTACCAACCAAGGAAACATGAAAAAGATTAACCCAGTAACTTTGTTTTGGGAAGCCTTTTTCTGCAAGCGTCAGATTTCGCTCCCTTGGTGACGTGGCAAAGGGATCTCATTATTATATTACCGCCCCTTAATCTGTAAGTTTACACCCACGGTGTCGTCATTTGATTTCACAAGCGATAACGGTGTACCAGCTCTAATGCCATGGCGAAACACTATTTAGAGTCCCGGCCTCAGAGAAGACAACAGAGCAGTTAATTAGGATAATTCTTTGAACTTGCAGCCATATTTCGAACAAAATCTGTATTGTTCATATTTTATGTTTCACAAAATGACTTGGGTTTGGTTAGAATAATTTAAGGTGACTTTTAATGGTATACTACTGTTGAAAACTTTCGGGTCGGTAAGATCGTTTCTTTTTTAGAAGAAACTGCTACATTTATTTGATCATAAAATCAAGTAAAGCAGTAATTTTGTTAAGTGTTATTATAATTTAAAAGAACTGTTTTCTGTATGAATATATTGTAAAATGTAATTTATTCCTGTGCTTTTCTACACCTGTGATTACTCCGCTAGGACACTACTGAAAAGGATCTTCTTCTATCTTTGGTTCACAGGCCTCTGGAGCTGCGGTATAAATATGGTAATCTCAGTAAAGGCGAGTGTAAACCGGGTTACACAGAGGCCAAGATGACTTCAATCTATCCAAAGTAAGCTGATCTCATCGTGCATTGTGAAATACTGGAAGTTCACAATTTCGTATTTGTAAATGTGCATGCAGACACGCAGCTCATTCTGCTGCTATTTACATAATTGAGATTTAGATGAATAACATTCTCATTAAGACCAGGAACATGAAAGTGCAAAGAATTTACAAGATTACAAAGAGAAATTACAAGATTTCTTTATCGGTTCTGTACGAGCATTGCTGGTCAGTGACTTACAAGCTGGTTACTGTTGCAGATACATCGACCAGATGAAATCATCTTGAAAGTGCACAAAACAATCTTATTACTGGTATATGCAATATTTAACTAGTTTTAACCAGCTTTGGAGGTTTATTCTGTTTTTGTTTGAGTGAGAACATACAGTAGAAAGGAAGGATGAGAACAGTTATCACAGTTTTGTTGGCTACATAAGACTTGACTTTGTTCTTCTTTGTAGAATCGTTCATAACTTCATGTGTGTTGTATAGTTTGTCTTAAACCCCTTACACAAAGAGCAATGCTCTTGAGAAGAGCATAGAAAGACATTTCCTTTCTCTTTTAAATAATTCAGTGTCTGAGAAGATTCCCCACCGTGAATGCTCTTTATCTTTTATGTGTTGATTTAAGGCATGTTTCAGAAATGTGTCCACAGAGCGCCTCACTGGCATCAGAAATGATGCAGATCTTTTTTTGGGTCTGTTGTGCTCCTCTGGGCTCCCAGTGCGTGAGAAACCCATGCTTCTGATTCACACGACTGACACGCAAAGCTTTCCTTCAGCTGCAAGATTTCTGCCTGAGCCTCTGAGATGAATATAAACCACATTTTATGGATCTTATTAATTCTTATATTATCGGAATCCTTTTAAAATCACAATTTTTAAATAGTTTTTTTTTTTATTCTTCACTGTGGGATGCATACATACCTTTGAGTGTGTGTTGACCTTATTTGTTTTCTGGTTCTTGGTTCAGGTCAAAACGCATTCAGAAATCAAAATACATAGTTAATAGTTTGTTTTTAGAACCATTAAGGTTTTAAATTTGTGACATTGTTTCCATGGTAATTAAGCACATTTTCTGTAATGTGTCCGGACATTTGACCCTTTTTTGTAATTCTCATTCAATTATGATGCTGTAATTATTACAAAATTGTTTAAAAATCATATATATAACATCACAAATGTCACAATGCAAAAACACGTCTCCAATTATATATATCCAAGATGCTTCAAGGAACCAAAGCTACCTGACAAACTATGTGCACTTGGGCAAAAGCTGTTTTAAATGCAAAGGATGCTCACACCAAGAGTTCAGATGCAAAAGCCTCTAAGTGCTGTTTAAAACTTTCCTCTAAAATGAGCGTTTTTATCAGGCTCCTATGTGTAGGTTCAGTAATTTCACATTAATGGCAATGAATAGGTTATTTTCTTTGCCATTAAAGTGAAATAACTGAACATAAAGGAGGAACATAGGAGCCTGAGAAAAATACTAATTTACTGTAATGGCTTCAAAAATTATCCACCATTCATATCAAAGTTTGTCGTCATTTACTCATGTCGTTTTAAACATGTATGACTGACTTTCTTCTGTGGATGATAATGAAAGAAGAATTTTTTTTAATTTTTTTATTTAGTTCATACAATGGAAGTCCAGCATTCTTCAAAATACCTTCTTATAAAGAAAAGATAAAGAAATGTCTCCGTATTTTTTATTATTATTATTATTTATTTATTTTTATTTAATTTAATTAAATTTATTTATTTGGTTCGTACAATTGAAGTCAATAGTGAACAAAACATTTTGGTTGATAACATTCTTCAAAATATCTTCTTTTTTTGTTCCACCAAAAAAGAAAGGCATACAGGTTTGAAACGACATGAGGGTGTGTAATGATAACAGAATTAAAATTTTTGGGTGAACTATCCCTTTAAACAATCCCGCTCTGTCTGAATAGTCGTGGAGGATTGTAGATTCGGAAGTAAACAGCCACTGCTATGATTGGCGAATAGATGTGTATGTTTGGTCGCCTACATCCTTCACAGATGGACGCTGAATCTTTTCAGATGAATCTTTTAAGTGTGACAAATATGCAAAAAATGGAAAAAACAGGAAGGGGGCAAAAATCTTTTCACGGCACTGGACTTTTCTCACAAGTGTACATGTTTGAAGGTTTGAGGCAGTGAGAAACGCGGGAGTGTGTCACCTTCACTTACAGTGTTGGGATGTGAGGAAGCGCAGAGTCACGGTTGTGGTCGTGGGAATCGGATATACCGGACCACCTGTGTCATTAGTGCATTACTCCAGGGGTCGGACAGCTGCGTACGGCATGACGGAAGTGTTCAGGTGTTGTTTTGTCAGCCAGTCAAATGTTCGGTATAGTTTGTGATGTGGATAGTTGTATCAGGTGCACGCTGGGTGGAGGATGTTGACAGAAATCAAGCCGTTTCTCCTTGAAATACAGCTGTGCCTGGCGATGTTTGTGGACAGAATGGGAGAGTTTTTCCACTGGCTGTGTTAATAATTGTTTGCATATCATGTTAGGTGTTGGTGCTACATAGCATTAAACAATAAAGCCATTTTTTAAAGAAGTACTCAAGACCTATTATAATCTGTTAGTCACATGTTGCAGTTTTTCATATATTCCTTTTTATATTGTTTTCTTGTTTTTCTTAGGGAACAGCTTTGGAGAGTAATTAAAAGTAACTTCTAACTTCACAGCATTTATGATTGTAGCTATTTTAAAGTAGTGTAGCTTTTCTAGCTTCATGGCTCATGCTTTTTCCAGGAAGTAGTGGTAAGATTTATTTTATTATAATTTTTTATTTTTTTTTATTTTTTTATATCGAGTGTAATGACACTTTAACTAGTGTCATATTGCTTAAATAGCCTATGTAGCTTTGGAAGATCAAATTCATCTTAGTGAATCGATTTATTCAGATGATTCATGTAAATTGAAAAACAGTTCCTTGATCGCTGAGTCATACATTCAGTCAGGTCAGTTTCTTTTCTTTTTAACTTCTTTCCTATAAATATATTACCTGTCATCATTCACAATCACATTTGCATTAAGTATAGCCTAATTAAACGTAGGTAATTTCAAGTGCACGCTGCTCTCTCTCCATTTTATTTTTTTTTTAAATGCCAAAAAAAACTAAAATTGGCATTTCGGATAAGAATTTTTGCTGGAAAAATTCTGTGCATCCTTAGTTTGTGCGCCAAAAAATATTCTGATTGCAAAAATAAATTGTCATTTCACAGTTATATATTTAAAAAAGGTTTTGCCTCCTTAAATTGCTTTATTGAAGTTGGATTGTAGTCTAATGTCTGTAAGTGAGCCGCTTGTAGCTTGGTGATCTCAGCTCCTTATAAGTCTCTCTGCTTGTTTTGAAGAAAGGTCAAGTTTAGGCTGGACTTCCTTAAACACACCAGTAGCCAGTGGATTATGGGTAATGCGAACCTCGTAATCCCTTCAAATATTCCACTGTTTGAGGTATTCCACCGGTTATCAAAGTATCGCAGCCCTTTTCTCATGCAGGCTGTGGAGCGATTAGCGTGCTTGTTTTAACTTGTGTTTGCTCTCTTTATCTTTTATTTATTGTTTTAGGTTTTCAAAACCTGCCCCCATGTTCCTTGATCCAAATTTCAAGCGGCTATCAAAGATCATCAGTTACCCGCCTCCGTTTGGAGTAAGAACACAAGGTATTTCTTTCTTTCTGAGTCTGTTTTATTTCACAAGAGGAGGGAAAAAATAGTGTTTGCATTGAGATGTGAAAAAAAAACTATATATGAATTGAAGATATATAATATAGTTAGATATAGTGCACCATTTACTTTTTGTTCCCTGCCCTCAATCAATCAAGTGATTTTTGTCGTCTTAGTATTTAAAAATGTAAGAACCTCTTCTCTGTACACTGGTAAAAGTACCTCTGAGTTGGAGGTATTTTCCGGGGGTTTTATGTATTTGTTATTGATTTATTTATTTTTTCGATTTTCAGCGCTGTTGGTTTCATTAACAGATGATCCAGTTAAACATGTTGACATGACATTGTATCATGTGTAAACAAAAGAACAATCATAACTCACACACTTGATTCAGACGGGCCTAGTTCTCCCTGAGGAGGTCAAGTAAATTAGTGTTTCGCAAGACGTGCTTTGTCATTTCAAACGCCTGTGTTTTTCTCACACAACCGCTGTACAAATCACAAAGGAAATCGCAATCTGTTGTTCAGTCAGTGATCCTCTGAGAAATCTAATGCCGGTCAGATAGGAATCTCAATGATTGTTGTACGTTTGTATTTTCACAATTCTTCTCCTCACAGATGTTTTCGCACAAATATTACACATTTTCAGGTGTCCATGATTTTATGAATGTAAGTCATGTTGTACTTCATCAAGGGTCCATTATTGAGGCAAAAAGTGCATCTTAAGAATTCTAATATTTTCTTTGTTTAACACTGAAAAAACATTGTCAGTCCAAGCATTCATTCTGCGCATTCATTATACACTACTGGTCAAATGTTTGGAATAATTAAGATTTTTAAATAATTTTGAGTGGAAGCAGAAACACGCTGTTTTTTTGGGCCTGTCTCTTTAAATGCAAATGAGCTGCTGCTCCCCGCCCCCTTTTCCAGAATAGAGCTGCACCATTACAGCTCGGACCTGCTAAAACATCTGTTTTGGTTCTGATTATCGTGTTAATCGCGTTGAAATCATGCGTTTTAAACCATATAAGTTTAAACTTCTGATATACGGTTTTCTGAACGCACACGGACAGAAAGCAGCTGTCACAGCATGCGAGTACTAAACTAAGTTCTCATTCACACAAGTTTACGTTAAAAACACACGAGTTACAAAAACAGTGGGTTATGTCTGTGAAGGTAAACTGCTGGGAAATAAATCATGTTTATTTTAGATCTGTGTGGCAGCAGCAATATACAGTAAATAAATCAATAAATCCACTGCTCTGTTGTCTCCTCTGAGGCTGGGACTCTAAACAGTGTTCTGTGCTCGTCTGTGCAGCCAAAGACAGAACAGTTAGCGTGTTTTGCTCAAACTTTCACCATGGCATTAGAACTGGTACACCGTTGTCGCTTGCGAAAACACAGATGCGCCGTGGGTGGAAACTTACAGATTAAGGGGCGGTAATTAGAGCCCGACCGATATATCGTTTTGCCGATATTATCGGCCAATATGAGCCTGTCGCCGATATATCGGTATCGGTGAATATGCCGCCGATACGAATTTTTTTTTTACAGAACATATAATGCAGATAAAATGCTTGAAATGATGTAATTACTTAGTTTGTTTACTACTGGCGACCTGTATGAAATGCTTTTAAAGCTTAAGTCAATGGAAAACCATTGAAACTTTGAACGGCCATATCTCCGTAATGCCGCGGCGAACCCGCACCAAATTTGGGGGATCTCTTCAGCTCAAGGAACCCGCTTGAACGTGAATCAAGTGTACGTCTCGAGGCCCTCTTTCGAATGAGACCGCCCCTGGGGTTCGGGAGTTACGGCTGGTTAAATTCGTGATCCGGCGCCGACCGATCTAGCGATCCCGGGGGACTACCGACACACGGAGGGTGGCGTTCGAGAAGGCTCCTCGAGCTGAAGGGATCCCCAGAATTTGGTGGAGATCTGCCGGCTCGTTCGCGAGATAGTGACACCAGTCAACACTTTCACTTCAGTAAGGAGGTCTCTTGTTCAGGCAGCATTCACGCGTTGTCTTATTCGACTGTAAGTGCCCTGCGAAGTGGACTTCACATGAAATTCCGCCATGATTCCAGTTCCAAGGGAACGACACGTTACATTCAAAGGGCATTAAAGTGCGCGAGACGTGAATTTATATTGTATTTATTTACAGAAGTAGGGGAGAGTGGGGCACAAAGTAACACTTTTTGACTTTCTCAGTTTGTGTAAATCCACATGGGGTTCAGAATATATATAT